CATGATGATGTCGGAGACCTTGGGTTGAGTAGCGAGGTGGAGTCCGAGGTGCTGGAAAGTCATATTTTTGAGCTAAATGATGATCCGATCGACAAAGAGAATGAAGAAGAAGACGAGACGGAGCAAATTCTCGCTGCTATCGTCCCCCCCGATAAAAACCTGGTAGCATTTACTACTGCTATCCGGGCCCCCCATAACAGCCTACTCGAAGGTGAAAATGACGTAAAAGCTCCGACAATTGCTCCGAGAATGACTGAAAATCAATCTGTTCTATCTGAGTTCAAACAACCAGCAACCGAGCATGTTGAAGATCAAGAGCCTTACATCCTTGAAGCGCTTGAGATTTTCCCTCTTATCCATGATCCCGGGCTAGTCTTTTGCCATCACGATCTACCGCCGAGATGAAAAGATCCGGTCAAGCACCCGACATCGGACGAGGGGATCCTTCCTAAGCATGGAGAGGTTCATGCCTCCTTTGAGGCCACCTATGAAGCCGCCATGGACCGCTTGAAGAAAGCAGAACAATAAGTCGAGCCAACGACACTAAAAAAAGGCGCTTGTTGGGAGGCAATCCAATGGTGTGCGATGTGACTTCTTCTCTTGGATAAGGTGAACTCTTTCCTTTTTCTTCTTTTGTGCTCTTTTATTTGTGCAGACTTTAAGTTTGGGGAGGTGTATTTGTGTGAGAGGTTTATGTGGTGGATTATTATATATACTCTCTTGATTTGTTTGGGTATGAGCTTACTTGTGTTCGGATCTGTGAGGATTTCGTTATGTACAAGTCACGAATTCAATAGCAAACGTAAACCTATGCGCAGCGGATCTAAAGGTTTGACGTAGAGAACTTACGACTTAAAATTTATGTAGATCTGGTTGACCACGAATGGTTGACCGCAAATCACGTCTTGGGTTGCACGAACAAGATCAGATCAAAATCGGATCAAACGGATGCACACAGATCAAAATGAAACTTGCAGCCTAGGAGCTTCCGACGGCGCGTGAGGGCGCGTGCGGCGTCCGATGGCAGCGATCTCGGCGGCCATGGAAAGCTCTCGTCGAGACTGTCATCTGGGTATGCTGTGCCTCTCAATCGGACCTCCGGTTAGTTCTGTAAGACAAAATATATTTCGTCTCGATTTACCTGCAGGTCTTCTACTGTATTACTCAATACCTCTTTCTTCAACTTGTACCAGTGGAGCAACAAGAAGAAGATAAAGTTCGAATGAGATTTAGAGAGAGAGAGAGGCGTGGGGCGTGTCTCACGTTAGAATAGGAATTCTGTTCTCTTCGCATAAGCTTAATGATGTATATATAGAGTTACAGTAGGGACCCTTAAAAGATTAGGAAAATGGCTCCTTAATTAATTAGACTAACTGTGGGCCAAGCCCACTCCTCTAATTAATTAAATAATATTAATGGGCCACCAACATTATATTATTGCACTCCCGTTTCCTAGCCCAAATTACATTTGAGACTCCAATAATAATTACTCGATTTACCTCCCCACGTTTAAGATATAATGTCCATTAATTAATTCGATTACTGACAATCAAGAATTAATTAATTTATTATTATTTCACCGAAGCTAGCGCTCGTTCATCACATTCTTATTATGCCGGAACTTAACCTACCTGCAGGGTTTAGCATAACAATCCTTCATGAACTCACTCCGGGAACATCATCAAACTAACGCACATGGTGACCGTAAATATCCTAACAGTGCATCCTATATATAATAATATTACCCAAAACAGTAGGAATATTAATCCAGCGAACTGAACCTCACCCATGTGAATCAAAGTAATATATATTATATATATCTGCCTGTTTAATATCTTACGGGTTAAGAGAACGCAGTAATTAACCGAGGCCTAGTTCATTTACGACGATCAGTATAAAATGAACTTCTCCTCTCTGGGATCCTGTTCAATACATAAATGTACTAGTGCAACTAATCAGTCAAGAAAAACTGTACAGTTGACACTACAACCGTTCGAATGAGGGTCATGTCCATCTAGGTTGTGAATAACTATTCTTGTTTGCAAGTAACTGATAGAGTGATCTTCGGTTCGCCCGATGACGACCCACTCCATCTAAGTGCAGAACAACAGAACGTAGAACTTGTTTAATCTAACACGATTCTCATTCATAAAGGACAAATGTGTAATAACATGCAAAGCCAAGCTTTCAGTATATAACAATAACAACTTGTATGTGGAATTTTACAGTGATGATTTGAGTGTCTGTTGGAATATTATGCTAGTTATGATGACTCGGGTTAATGGATTCTGGTTAAATTCTTGAAGTGTTGTTATTTGAGGGACAAAAACATGACGATTGATATTTATGTGATTTATTTGTAGTGACTTGGTCTTGAACTATTTATATTTTTGAAATGTGCTAGTGATTATTTTGCTTGATGTCGATTGTGTGAGGTGACTTGACGTGGAAAGTTGGGAGTTGATTGTCTCAGAAAAAAAAAGAAAAAAATTGAAAAAAAAAGGGAAGAAAAAAAACAAAGAAAAAAAGGAAAGAAAAATTATCGTGGGCTGCAAAAGCTGTCAGTCTGTGAAGCTTTAGTGCATAACTCTTGCATGAATAGCTAAATACCATAGACTATGACGGAGCTGCCGTTCCCAAAAAAAAAAAGGAAAGAAAGAAAAAAAATTGAGACTTGATTTCTGACTAGAAGCGAAGAGGAACCAAATCGGTTGACAAAGAAAGGGATATCATTAGTTGCATGATTGGTATACTCGATGAAGAGATTGATCAGCTGCGGTAATTCACTGAATTGATATTCGATTGTTGGCGTTCTAAAGATGATTTCATTTCGAGTCTGCGGATTATTAATTTGAGAAGTTGTAGCTATGCATTTATGTGTGAATTGTGAGTTCCTGAGTAATATTCCACATACTTGTTTATATCCATCTTTGTGATTTTAGTTCTAAGTTGCTTGGGGACAAGCAACAGTTTAAGTTTGGGGAGATTTGATAGGTCGAAAAATGTGCTTATTTTATATGTTTAATAGTGTATTTTTATACACTTAATTTATTCGCACATTTATATTTTTTGACTTATTTATTATTTGGATGGATTCATACACATTATTATTTTTTATTTATTTTCAGCTGATTAGAGTATTTGTGTACGTGAAGCATTGGACGGAAGTTCACGCGATCAATTATCGAGCACCCAATACAATACTAATCAAAGCCCAAAATGCATGATGTGGGCCACATGGGATAAAGCCCAATTGTGATTTATGAATGAATTTTGGGAGTGGAGCACGTGAATGAAAGGAGTTTGGGGTAATTAACTTGAATTGATAATTTCTTTTGTGGGCTCCACGATTAAGAGAAGTTAAATTCCTAAAGGACTTTGGTCTTGGGATTTTGATTGGCTGGGAGTATTTATTTGAGGAGAGAGCACTTAACAAAGAATACACATACACGCACAGCGAGGCATTTTTTGACGAGAAAAAGAAAAGCCGAGGGCTACTGGAAGGATTATTTTACGAGAGAAGAAGAAAACGACGCGAACAGGAGAGAGCACGCACGGGCTGAGAGGAGAGCACTACACGCGGAGGGAAGCCGCACTCGCACACGAGGTAGATAACTTATCTCTCTCTTTTATCTTTTATTTATTTTTATTATTATGTTAGTTTAGTATCTTTTATCCAGTTTGAGGGAATGTTTGAACCCTAATTTCGGTTTGTCTATGAATTGATTGATCTTTATTTATCGTTGGTTAATGGAAACGCCGTATTTATTTGTTGATGAGTTGATTCATGCTATCTGTGTATAATGTTTATGAATTATGGGTGTTTGATTTAGTTTGGCCAACTACGTTAAATATTCATAGTTTAATTGCTAGATTCGAGGCTTTAATCCGTAATTGTTATTGTTCTCGTTTCGTTAGTAGTAAACTAGGGGTCGTGCATCTCTAGGGTAGCATGAACATAAGTTAAATGGTCCGAGCTTTTGCGTCCATTGCTTAGACTGATCTATTTTCCTAGGAATTAATGCTGCTAGTGAATTAAATCTAGAGAGCTTATTCTAGGTTGTCCACTAGTTAGGTTTAATCGAAGAGCTTATTTCGATTAAATATTCGGTAAGAGAAGATTCGGTTAACAGAGCTTGTTGTTAGCTCATTTTGTAGGAATTAATGCTGCTAATGAATTACGTCGGTAATTCATTAGCAATTTAAAGAAATCGTTGAAATTAATTAACGATAGATTGAGATTGAGTGATAACTGAACCGAAAACTGGACTGCTCTTATTTTATTTTTTTATTTTATTTTTATAAAATCAATCCCCCATTTTTTATTGCTTTCATAGTTATAATTCGATTAATACGAGATTGTCACAATTTAATTTCTGCTCCTCGTGGGATCGACCCTTACTCGCCGCTACTACTAGTTAGTGGAGGTTACTTAAGGAAAACTTTATAAAGATTTTCCTGTAAAGAAAGAAACTTCAAAGCCCTAAATTTGCCGTGTCGCGACGCGCGGTCATGGTACTTAGTGCGGGCAGTGCTCAAGGAAAAATCATCAAAATCCTGGTGGAGTTGAACTTGTCTGAACCAATACCTAGAGGAACAAAGCTCAAACTGGGTGATGAGATGCACTAGGTGGATTTCCGGTATGAAAACTTGCAGCAATTTTGCTACTACTGTGGATATATTGGGCACAATGACAAATTCTGTGAAAAGAAGAAAGAGGATGTCATAAACTTCATCTAGGGAGATATGGGGAATGACTCAAAGCTAGTCTGGGAAGTGGGGGAGATTTAAGAGATAGGAGAGGAACATCCGCTGGCAGTGGAGATGCACCAACTGGGGGGCATAAGGTTAGTGAGCAGAGCTTAAACATAGTGCGTCAGGGTGAGGATTTTCATGTAACCTGTGAGGGAAGTGAAGGGGAAAAGGTAGAAAATGTGGGGATAGGGGGGCATGAGGGCTTCATTTCTAGTGAGGAGACCCCTAGAGGTCCTACTAGAAGCATGGGGCCTAAGAGAGTGAGTGAAATCACCCAACAACATAACCAAATTGATGTGTGTCCAGTTCTTATAGAAGAAGAAGAGGGCACAAATAAATGCACTGAAGTGGGGGAGAATAATGAGAAAAATACTAGTGAGGATGGTCCAGGTGTGGGTAAGAAGGGTCTTAAACCTTTCACCAGAAAACCTAGAAAAGGGGTGGCTATGATGAACGATAATATGAACTTAGACACTCCTGTAGAAGTCCATGTCTCCATTGGGTAGGATAGACAAAAAAGAAAGATGGTTGAGGGTGAGTGTTCTGGGGGTGGTAGTGATGAGATAGGGAAGAAAAAACCAAAGTTGTGTGATAACCGTTTTGAAATAGAGGTGGAGGAGACCAGTCTTAAATGGTCCAAAGGTTTCCAATGAGAGTTTACATGTGGTGTTGTAGAGGTGAATTGTAGAGGTCTGGGAGGACCCTCTACAATTTCCCAGTTGAGGGAAAACCTTAGGGCCCACCTCCCTGTTTTAACCTTTATTTTTGAAACAAAAAAGAAAAAACCTTTATTGCTACTGTGTGTACTAAGCTAAATTTTGAGGATAGATGGGTGTATATAGACCCTATCAATGTTAGAGGGGGTATTGATAGGGTCTATATACAGCGGGTGAGCGGGCCCAAAGCGGACAATATTCTACAGCGGGTGGACTGGGCTGTTACAGATGGTATCAGAGCCAGTACCCGAACTGGTGTGCCAGCGAGGACGCTGGGTCCCCAAGGGGGGTGGATTGTAATATCCCACATCGGTTGTTAAGGAGAACGAAACATGCCTTATAAGAGGGTGTGGATACCTTAACTTGTAGGACGCGTTTTGGTGAGCTAGCTCCCAAAGGCAAAACCGTGCGGGTGAGCGAGCCCAAAGCGGACAATATTCTACAGCGGGTGGACTGGGCTGTTACAGATGGTATCAGAGCCAGTACCCGAACTGGTGTGCCAGCGAGGACGCTGGGTCCCCAAGGGGGGTGGATTGTAATATCCCACATCGGTTGTTAAGGAGAACGAAACATGCCTTATAAGAGGGTGTGGATACCTTAACTTGTAGGACGCGTTTTGGTGAGCTAGCTCCCAAAGGCAAAACCGTGCGGGTGAGCGGGCCCAAAGCGGACAATATTCTACAGCGGGTGGACTGGGCTGTTACAGCTGGTCTAATAAAATATGTATTTTGGATATTATCAAGAATCAGTTTTGTGTAGAAATTTGTTTTGCTGAAACTGGTAGTAGTAGGAACATGTGGGCTGTATTTTTGTATGCTAGCTCTGACCCTGTTGAGAGGAAAATCCAGTGGAATATTCTGATTCGGCATAGACTTGGGCTGTATTTTTGTATGCTAGCTCTGACCCTGTTGAGAGGAAAACCCAGTGGTATATTCTGATTCGGGATAGACTCATGTGGGGGGATATGTGGTTTGTGGGTGGGGATTTTAATGAGATTTTGTCCAATGGTGATAAGAACGGTGGGGTTAGAAGGAGTGAGGCTAGTTTCAAGGCTTTTAGAGACTTTGTGTTAGTTATGGGGATGGTGGAGTGTAAATTTATTGGCCACCCTTTCACTTGGGCCAATAATAGAAAAGGGGATGAATATGTGGAAGAGAGGATAGATAGGATCTTTGTGTCCCCAGACTGGTGTTTCACATTCCCAAACTCCCTGGTGCAGCATGTTCCTCTAGCATCCCCTGACCACTGTATGATGGTGTTCTATGATGATCTTCCAAAGCAGCAGATTAAGAAAAGGTTTTTCATTGGCCAGAGATGGATCAAGTGGGATGGTTAGGAAGACTGTGTAAAAAATGCATGGAAGGGAGAAGAAAATGGGCCTGTTTTGTACAACTTCCACAGAAATTTGAGTAGAGTGAGAATGGCATTGTTGTGACGGCAAGTTCTTTAGAAGAGTAATTCAGCTGTCATTATAAAAGCCTGTAATGCCAAACTTGGAATGTTGGGGCAGCAAGGAGGTTCTAGATATTGGGACGAGTGGAAGGATTGTAAAAGTGAGCTGCACAAAGTATATAGAGAGGAAGAGTTGTACTGGAGGCAGAAATCCAGAATTAGATGGCTACAGGAAGGAGACAAGAATACCAGGTTCTTCCAGGCATGTGTGAAGCAAAGAAGACAGTTTAATAGCCTGAAAAAGTTGGTGAGATCTGATGGAAGTAGATGCTTAACTCTTGAGGAATCCCTACAGGAACTGACCAAACAGTTTGAGAGTATCTTCAAGTCAGAGATGCCTGCTTTTGATGGTGCTTGCCTACAAGGTATTCCAACATCCATAAGTGCAGAGTTGAACTTACCAAAGAAGTAGATAAAGTGGAGATCAAAGCAGCACTATGGGACATGGAACAAAGTAAGGCACCAAGTATTGATGGCTTCTCTCCAGCCTTTTTTCAAAATTCTTGGCCTTGGATTAAAAGCCATTTGTGTCATGCTGTGGCTGATTTTCTTAAGAATGGGATAATGCCAAAGAGCATTAACCATACAGTTATTACTCTTATTCCAAAAATTAAAAACCCTCAAAAAGTTTGTGATTTTCGGCCTATTAGCCTTTGTATAGTTACATATAGAATTATAGCCAAAGTGCTTGCTAACAGACTGAAGGGAACCCTTTCTTTTTGTATCTCCCCTTCTCAGTCTGCTTTTGTGCCAGGTAGGCAGATTTTGGATAATGTTATAGTTGCTAATGAATGTATCCATTTCCTCAATAGTAAAAAAAAAAGGAAAATCCTGCTTTATGGCCTTAAAATTAGATATGGCCAAAGCATATGAGAGGGTAGAATGGGGTTTTTTTGATTAATGTGTGCTTAAAAATTGGGTTTTGTTCTAAATTTCTATCGTGGATTTGGGCATGTCTTATTTCTTCTTCTTTTCTTTTAATTTTGAGGGTCATCCTAAAGGCTTCATCAAACCCTCTAGGGGTATTAGACAGGGTGACCCCCTCTCTCCTTATCTGTTTATTATTCTTTCAGAAGCCCTCTCTAATCTTATTTATCAGGCTTCTCTGAATTCTTCCCTAAATGGTATTCAGATTAGTAAATTTTCCCCTGTTGTGTCTCATCTATTTTTTGCAGATGATGCTCTTGTTTTTTGTCAAGATAATGTTAGCCAAGCTTCTGTTTTGTTGAATATCCTCTATAGATATTGGGCTGCATCTGGGCAATTAGTAAATCTGCACAAATCAAACGTTTTTTTCTCTAAGAATACCCCGGATGCCTGTAAAAGAGATATCTATCAAATTTTTAGGGGTATTTCTGTGGTTTGCTCTACTAAGTATTTGGGCCTTCCTTTAGGTATTGGAAAATAAAAAATGGACACTTTTAAATTTGTGAGTGAGTGTGTTCTTAATAAGATAAAAAATTAGAAAAACATTTTTCTGAGTGAAGCAGGCAAGGAAACCCTTATTTAAACTGTCTTAAATGCCATGCCAACTTATGTGAAGTCATGTTTCAAAGTCCCATTGGGGATTTGTGAGAATATTTGTAAAACTGTGGCAGAATTTTGGTGGGGTAAAAAGGAAAATGGAAAGAGTAGGTTGCACTGGACTAAATGGGAAAATCTTACTTACCCAAAGGAGATGGGTGGCTTGGGCTTTAGAGATCTTGCTGTGTTTAATGAAGCCTTGCTGGTGAAGCAGATTTAGAGGGTTTTAACTCAACCAAATCTATTAATGAGCAAGATTGTTAAAGGCAAGTATTTCCATAACCAAAATTTGATGAGCATTTGCCCTAAAAGCAGTGACTCTTGGTTGTGGAAATCATGGTTAGGTGTGAGGAAATATTTGAAGTTTGGTATGAGATATCAGATGGGTAATGGTACGGCTATAAAAGTTTGGGAAGACCCATGGTTACAGGAGTCTCCCAACTTTAAACCTGTGGGTCTGTTTAGTGGAGACTTGGATAGATTTAGCACTGTATCTGATTTGATGCTGGTAGGTGGTAAAGAATGGGATGTGGAGCTTATTATGCAATCCTTTCACCCCACTGAGGCAGCCAATATCCTCAAAATTCCAATTAGCAGGTGGAGGTCAAAGGACAAACCGGTCTGGCATCAGAGCAAGAAAGGGTGCTCGCTGTGAAAGATGTTTACAAAACCATCCTGGAGTTTAAAGCTTCTCTTCATGCATTTCAGAAACAGGTTGCAAAGTCTAGTGAAGGCAAAAAAAAGATGAAGATTATCTGGAACAAGACTTGGAGACTCCAATACAGAATAAACTCAAAAACTTCCTTTGGAAGTGTTGGAATGATTTTTTGAGCTCCAATGTCAGACTGAGAAAGAAAGGTATGGATGTGGATGCCATTTGTCAGTGGTGTGGAGAGAAAGAGGAAAACTTGGAACATATTCTTTTTTATTGTGAGAGGGCTGTAAATGTTTGGAAAATTGCTGGAATATCTTGGAAATGCTTAGCAGGTGAGGGTGGGTGTTTTAAGGATTGGTGGACTGAGGTGTGTTTGATGTTGGGGGCTAAGTATGGGCAAGACAGAATTTCCCTATCCACCTACATATTGTGGTGGTTATGGAAAACAAGAAATTTATGGGTGTTTAAAAAAGAGAAGGTGTTAGACCATACTGTGGTTCAAAGGGCAAAACAAGATTGGCTAGAGTTTCAGAATCTTAAGAGCAAAGGCATGGGGCAATCTGTTGATAGTAAAGCTAATGACTTACATACTGAAGCTCAGGGTAGTACAGGAGTAGGACAACTATGTGTTGTTGCCAGTGCTATCTACTTCCCTGATGCTAAGGTAAAATTGGGAGGATTGGCTATCAACAATGGCTCTATACACAAGCAATGGTGGAATGAACAGTGTACAACAGCAAGTAGGGAGGGAGCACTTTTATCAGGTATTAGATGGAGCTTGGAGCAGGGGATGCACTTGGGAAGGACTCAAATCACATGCAAAGTTCCTGATAAAATGGTAGCTGACAGATTAACTAAAGGTTCAAGTTTTCCTTCTGATGTTGCTGTCATTGTGAATGACATTTTGTATTTAGTTAGGCAATTTGTATCTTGTACTTCTGTTGCTGATATTAATGCTTGTAATCTAGTTTGGAGTGAGGCCAATGTGGTCGATGAGGAGACATTACTTATGTGATGTTCTTCCTGTTTTTAGCCCGAGTACGTATGGTACCATTGAGGTGGATTTGTAGTCCGTTGGCTACCCGAATATTGTACTATTTGAGTTCAGTTTTATAAATTGGAAAAAAAAAATCGTTATTATGTCAACCACCAATTTTTTCTTTCAACTTTGTCATCTCTATTTTTTAATAAATTACAATTTTTATAAACTCGTATATAGAGCCGCAATCTTATAGTGCGAATGAATGTTGAAGAAAGTGCATTTTTCGTCAATTCCAACATATAAGCTTTATCTCTTCATTTTTAAAATTATTATTTGTAAAATTTACTATCTATATATTCACCTATTACTAAATATCAATTGTTATATATTTATTTTCCATCATATCATATTTAATTGTTATATTTTCATCTTGCATAATCATAAGTAATCAATTATTTTTTTTAAATATTGTTCTCGTAATGAAATTATCAAGTTGATTTTAATTAATTATTCGGCCACTAAAATCATAAAACTCATTCCCATACTTATTCATGTGAAAATTTATTATAAACAAAATAGTGTATAATTGTACAGTAGCGGTATTACCATGGTGTTTTGATTGCACATTCGTTTCGTTTAATTATCAAATTATATATATAAATTAGTACACATTCGCGGTACCGTAATATAAATTAGTGTACGCTTATTGTGTAGTTGGTACAGCAATATATCAACAAACAATGTATACTCAGTTAACTACTTAACTCACGGTAATAACTCACGGTAATGTCATGGTTAAGTCTTACAATCCCATAGGCGTTTTTGTGGCCCAAAACCAAGCACACAGGCCTAGAAGGAAGATCCGCTAATGGTGCCTCTTTAGACTGTAACTATAGGCCCCAAAGGCCCAAATATTCATTACAACACATTTACCAAACTACCCCTAATCGCCAAACAGAACTCTCCTCCTAAATCGTCAAAATTAATCCAAAACCCTAAAACCTGAGAACGCTCTCACAGTTTCACTCACACTCACACACTTTTCTGCACCTTCAATCATTTCCATGGAAACATAGGCAAAGAACGAAGAAGAAGGAACTCAAGAAGAATAAGAAGCTTTAGATCCCTGTAAAAGGAAAATGTCAGCGCTTGCATACCTGGCGAAATCGCGGCCCCTTTTGAGGCCGCAGAGCTTCAAATCCATCTCCACGTTCGCGCATCTCCGGCAGGAGGCGCAGCAGCTAGAGGATCCCTCTCCGGATCCTTCGCCTCCCCCCCTCCCGCCGAACCCGGCCTCCGGAAGCCCCCGTTACAGCGAGAACTGGCGGAGCTCGGCCGCCGCCGACGACGGGGCGCTCATCCCCCTCGGCCTGGGGTTCCTTCAGCAGTCACAGGCGTCGAGGATGCAGCTTCACTCCCAGACGCTCGACGCCCGGGGTTTGATGAATAAGTTCGCCGAGTGGATGACGACCCAGAATTGGGAGGACATGAAGCAGCTGTTCGAGGTCTGGGTTAGGTCGCTCGATAAGAACGGAAAGCCGAACACGCCGGACGTGGATCTTTACAATCACTACCTGCGCGCGAATTTCATGATTGGGGTGGATGTTTCGGAGCTTGTCGAGCTTGTGGAGCAGATGGAGGGATACGGGATCAGTCCTAATTCAGCGTCGTACAATCTTGTGCTCAAGGCAATGGCGAGGCACAGGCTGGTGGATACGGCTGTGCTGTTGTTCGAAAGGTTGGGATTTTTTTTTTTCAGTCATAGAATAAATTTGCGATTAGCTTGCAGTAAATAATTTCAGATATGTTGAAAGATGGATAAATTTTAGTTATATGGGCTGTCTACACTTGAGTTCTAACATATTCTGATTTCGTCCCCTGTCTCTCTGTAAGTTCTGTATCTGGGAAGTTAATCGTAGCTCTAGCTCAGGCTGTTAGCCAATGATTCTTGGATTGTATTAAGAGCATGTGGGAGCAGTGCATTTAAATTAACAAATGTGTTTCTTTTTTATATTAGTTAGCATTTTCAGTTGCCCAGCAAAAGTATTGAGTTTTGTGGAAACCGTATCTGTATATGCATATGAAAATTAATTTGTTTTCTATTTTGATGGACGAGTCTTCACTTTTATTGACCTCAGAGTGCTCCAGAAAGGAAAAGAACAAAACGAAACCTTGGTGGATCAAGAGTCTTATGACTTAGTTATTTGCATGCTTCTTTCTGTAAATAAGATCGATCCTGCCGTGAAATACATAGACCTGGCATTGAAATCTGGATATATGTTGTTACCGGATGCTTTTCGGAGTTTCGTGCAGAAATGTGTTTCTAATCGAAAGCTGGATACATTGGTGTCGATTATCGAAAAATGCAAAGTACGTTTTTTTTTTTCGTGGTTATTCTACCGATTTTAATACGACCTTTTCTTGATACATTGCAAAAACATTGACTCTGGTTTTATGGAGTGCTGTCTTCAGAAAATGGATGAGAACAAATCCCTTTGCCCTCCTTGGAACCAAGCCATTTACCTTGCTGAGGTCGCCATGCAGTGGAATAACAGTGATCTAGCATATTATGCTCTTGAGTTCATGGTAAAGTGGATTACCCGTGGGCAGAATTCGAACCCGCCAGATCTTTATTCGGCAAACGAAGGACTGGTTGTCTCGGCCCTTGCAACTGCCGGCCGAACTTACAGTTCGAGGCTCCTTGATGGTGCGTGGGCCATCCTCAAGTTTTCACTGCGCGGAAAGAAGCTTCCTAATCCCGAATCTTACCTAGGGAAAATATATGCCTATGCTAATCTGGGGAGCCTGGAGAAAGCATTTGTCACTCTGCTTGAATTTGACAAGGTTTATGGAAATACAGACCGAGAAGATGGTGAGGATCTTTTTTCTCCATTTTATTCTTTAAAGCCTCTGGTCATGGCCTGCTCCAAGGATGGATTTGCAACTCTAGACAAAGTAAGTTATTCTTTTTTATCCCCTAGATGTATTGTGAGTATAAACATACTATTAGCAATAATTTATAGACCTAATTGATGTAATTTTTTCCTTTTGCATTTATACATTCTGTGGTTAACTGTATCTTCGATGTGTCATCACAGGTTTATTATCAGCTGGAAAATTTGAGTCAAGCCAACCCTCCACACAAGTGTGTTGCTGCTCTGAATTGTGTAATTCTTGGCTGTGCAAATATATGGGACGTTGATCGTGCTTACCAGACGTTTAATGCAATTGATTCAGCGTTTGGGTTGACCCCAGACGTTCATTCCTACAATGCTCTCATATGCTCATTTGGCAAGCAGAAGAAGGTACCTCATCTGAAGCTTTGCACCTCAGGCATATGATTTTAGAAAGATTCAATTAACATTTCTAATTACTGATGCTATATTTTCCGTCAACTCTCCGTATTTTTCTTGTCCAAAACACAACTAGTACGTGTACCCGTGCGATGCACGGCTTCACATAAACAAATATATTTAATATCAATTTATTCGTTTATTTTATTTAGCAATTATTATTAATGGAGATTTATCCGTCTGGGTATTTGGTCAACGACCCAAGAGATCTAAAACTATTAATTTAAAACTTTGGTTTATATTAGTTTGAGATGTGAAAGATGGGTGAATTATTGATTCGGGGCTTGAAAGATAATATCTATTTTTGGTATTCTATCAACATGTTGATATAAGAGATCTAAAACTAGTAATTTAAAACTTTGGTTTATATTAGTTTCAGACGAAAAATTGAGGTCTTGTAATATCTATCAATTTAGGACCCCACCCAAATGCCAGTTTAATTTTTGTATAGGCAAATAAGTTTTATACACTTTTATATGGAAATATTTTTATTTATAAGTTTATATTTTTGTATAGCTGAGATGACGTACAAAAATGTGCTCATATTTTTTATTTTGTTCTGAGTTTTTATTTATGGATTGATTTATTTATCTATATCTTGTACTATTATATCAAAATCTTAAACTGATAATTTAGAATATTGAGCCTTAATTGATAAATTTAACCTTTCTTTCTTTTGATAGTTTCCTATCTTTCAGATCTTTCACGCCCGTATCGATAGTTCACTCATCTTTCAAGACTCTTAACTCATAAACTCTATTATTTTTTAATTTTTCAATTTAAAGGTACATGTTATAAAGATTATAATTTTTTATTCTCGAGTTAATTATTTGGACAGTGACTTGGAAGATGATCCACTAAGTTATCATTTTAAACTCATCTATTTGATGTTTTTAATCGTTTTAAGCAACCACTTTTATATTATTAATAAAATAGTTCAAATCTATATCAGATATTGAGCAATAACAAAGATCTCCAACTAAAATAATTTCTTTATTAGTTAAATAAAGATAAAGATTATGGAAAAGATAATTAGTTTTATTCTGTTACTGATTGGCATATAAAAGGAAGGAATAATTAGTCATTTTCATGTCTAAAAATAAGATAAAGATTATTGAAAGAAACCAGTCTTTTCTTTATTTTTTTTCAAAAAAAAAAAATGATTGAAAATACAACTACAAATTTTTCTCTTTTATTAATTCAGATTTTTTCTTGGGACTAAAGGCTATGTTGTTGTTGTTGTTATTGTTTATTAATTCAGATTTTTTGGTGGATATATATATATATATATTTAATTTATCTTTAAAAATTACTATTTTAAGTATTTTAAGTAAGTAATTAATGTTTCCTAAGTTTATATTATGCTATTTGCGGTAAATACTAATCTCTCGTTCTCTG